GCCTAGCGGGTCCCCGGGCGGCGCGCGGTCGCTTCCCCCTCGGCTTCGGGATGATCGGCCAGAAGACGCTCTACTCCTTCTTCTCCCCGAGCCCCGCCAGGAAGCCACGTTCCCGCAGCCCCGAGCCGCCAGCCCCGGGGACCGGCGTGGCTGCCGTAGCCGAGGGGAGCGGGGATGCAGCGGTGAGGCACGGCGCGGACCTCTCGCGGGGCCGCGGAAGGGGGGAAGGGAGAGAGAGGGAGGAAGGCGGCGGGCCCCGCGCGACCGAAGAGTTGCAGAAACCCGCGCCTGACTTGGTAAACTGGGGTCTCGCGTCTCTAAAAACAGCCTCCACATGTTCCAAACCCGCTGCCTAGGTTCAAAACAGCCGCCGGCGGCCATGCTGAGGGGGCCAGCCAATAGGGGCGAGCCTCGGAGCCCACGGCGCCAATCAGAGGCGAGGGGGCCGCCCTTCTCGGCTGGCGCCCAATCGGAGGAAAGGAGGGGCGGGACCTCGGGGAGGGTTTTTGCCGCGAAAAGACCGCGTGGGGNGCGGGGCTTCCCCTCCTGCGAACCGCTCCCCTCCGCCCCTTATCGGTGCCAAAGGCGAAATTGGGGACGTGGGCCTGCGAGTGCGGGGCTAGGCTAAGGCGTGCGTCCCCAGAGTCCGGTTTTGCAGCGAGCGCCCCTCCGAGCGCGGCTGAAACCCAGGGATGGGCGTCCTCTGCCGTGGGCCTCTGGGCTGGGGGCGGAACCTGCGGGCGCCCGGGAGGGGCCCGCTGCGGCTCCTGACTCGTGTCCGCGGGGACCCCTTGCAGGCCAACCCCTCCAAGAAGGCCCGGGCGGAGCAGGAGGAGCCCGGCACACCGCCCTCGTCGCCGCTGAGCCCCGAGCAGCTGGTGCGCATCCAGAAGAACAAGGCCGCGGCCCTGCTCAGGCTCGCGGCGCGCAACGTGCCCGTGGGTTTCGGCGAGAGCTGGAAGAAGCCCCTCAGCGCAGAGTTCGGGAAGCCCTACTTTATAAAGGTAAATGAGCGGCGGCGGGCCCAGGCCTCGCCGTCTCCTGTTTTCCCTCCGTTAACGTCCTTTTCCCGTGAAGGGTGTAAAATAAAACCTGTGCTGTTTGGAATCCGCTCCTTTAATGTTAGTTAGAGTTTGTGACTTTTTTAAGATGATACCACGGCTGCTTTTAATCCATTTAGTGAGTCTGCTATCGAGGGAAGGGCGTCCCAGTAAAAACCACTCGCCAGACTGCTCGGAACCTGGCTCCGCCCTTTAAAAGGGGGGAGGGGTTGACAACAGGAAATCAAAGCGCGGAGGCCAATCAGCTTTGACCCTGTCCAAAGAAAGGGCGGGAATTGAAGAGTGCTGTTTTTTATTTGCTGGGTTTTTCTTTAGAAAATTTAAAATTTTTTTTATTGATTGGTTTGAGAGAGAGAGAGAGAGAGACAGAAACATCTCTAAGTGCCCTGACTGGAGATCGAACCTGCAACCTTAGCCTAGTGCTCTAATCAACTGAGTTCTACCCGCCAGGGCAAAAAAAGAATTTGGATGTAAAACAAAGCGAAGAGTTAGATAATGCTTAAGTTAGCTTCCTTATTGAATTCACATGCTTTTCATTGAGAACCTGATTTTAAATCTAGTTTCTCTTTCAGCTAATGGGATTTGTTGCAGAAGAAAGAAGACATCACACTGTGTATCCACCCCCACACCAAGTCTTCACGTGGACCCAAATGTGCAACATAAGAGATGTAAGTACAGGTTGTGGATGAGATTTCGGAAAAGAAGTGTGGCAATCAAGTAGTATTTCTTAATTAGGGGCACTGGGGTTAAGCCACTGTCCATAATTCAGTAATAAGTAAAGTAATAAAACTGTGAGATTTGTCAGGCTATATTTTATTATTTATTTATTTATTTATTTATTTATTTGTTTTTTTGTTTGTTTGTTTGTTTTTAAACATATCTATTTCAGAGAGAGGAAAGGAGGGGGAGAGAGAGAGAAAAACATCAATGATGAGTCATTGATCCGCTGCCTAGCCTGCAACCCAGGCATGTGCCCTGACTGGGAATCGAACCCCGATCTCCTGGATCCTAGGTTGACACTCAACCGCTGAGCCACGCCAGGCCAGGCTATATTTTAACCTATATTTACTCTTTCTTTTTTTAACATAGACCGTGTGTCTCTATATGCTCTCACTGCTTGTATTTTATTTAATCCTGAAACCAACCCCAGACCAGTGTTAAATATTGTGGTGGTAGTGGGGAAACTGAGGCATGAAGCAGTTAGTCCTATTCATTTGGTTCTAGTCAACCCCAGCCTTGCCTCCACCTCCTTCCTGTTCTTGTACTTCAGAGTTGAACAGTGGGGCAGTCCTCTCCTCACTTCGTCTGTTGAAAACCAACTAGATCCATGGCACCACACTGAAGCCAGTTTCCCTCCACCTTTGTGATCTGGTTTTCCTCTAAACCTCCCAACTATGTTTAGTGTTTGCTTACACCAGAGGTTTTTACACTTTGTTCTTACTCTTTTCCCTCCCCTCGTTCGTAAGTTGAGAGCAGGATTCCTATTAGATAAAAGTGAAATAGGTGAATAAGCCATCTTGATAAGGCTGCTGGGCCGAATACTTAGCAAACTTCACAATTTTCATTTTAGAGGAAGGACTTTGGATATAGCTCCTCGTTTCTGAAGTTAAAAAAAAACAAAACTAGTCCTTTTAAATTCAGTACTTTTCACCTTTTTCCAGTAGTATGTCCAGTTTGGAATTCCAGGGATCGATGTAAATAGGGAAGAGTAAGAAAAGAGCATGAAATTGGATCAGATGGCCCAGAGTGGCTTCTTTGCAGAAGAGCATGCGGAGGTTACCTGGCTCCTCCAAGGTTGTCCCTTATCCAGGACCAGGACTGGAAAGCTTCCTTGATGGGACAGCTTGCTTCATGCTGGGGACAGTGTGAGCACCAGCGAAAGCTTCCTGATTATGGGAATGTCAAAAGCTGGGTTTTGAAGGGTGAGGTGTATGTCGGCTCTGGAAGATTGATTCTAAGGTACGCCTTGAGCGGAAGCATGAGAATGAAGCAGAGGTGGGCGGCCCGTGACGGTGACCTAATTACTTTTCACTGCATCTTGCCGCCTACTCCCATGGCTCTTGACCTGAACTCATCTGCTTTCCTTCCTTAGAGGATCTAGGGAAACGGGCCCCTTTCGTAGGCTGCCAGTGTGGCACTCGAATTGCTTCAATTCATTGGACAGCAACTTGTGGTGTGTCTATGGAAATTTAAAATACACTTACTCTCTGACCAGCAACTCTACTGTTATGAATATTCCATAGAAATAAAACCAAGAGTGTGGAAAGATATATGTACTGGGGTGTTTACTGCTTGACTGTTTGTAATGGGAAACAAGCTGACTGCCCATCGGGGACTGGGCTCTATTGGCTTGAAGGATGCCCAAAGTGTGTGACATGAGAAACACGAGGACGTAGGGTAGTGAGTGCAATAACCCCTATTCTATAGGTAATTAAAACTGGTTGAATCAGAACGGGACGAGAACTGGGAGATAACTAACCACTTGGTATGTTTCTGGGTGGTAGTACTTGTTTCCAAGGGTGTATTTACTTTTGTAACTTGACAAATGAACGGGATGAAAAGCAAAGTTGACCCCAACTAGTTTCAAATACCTGTGTCAGAAGGGAGGGGGCAGTGTGGCAGGGTGACTGAGTGAAGGAGAATTTGGTAATGGAAAGGAAGGTGCAGGTCACCTGCTTTCTTCTGTGGGTTCTTAGTTGGGTCAGCTGGGGGGGCTGCCCTACTCGTTACCATGTCCCTTTGTGTAGGTTATTGGGCAGCCCAGTGTTCAGTTCCACTGCCTACAATAGAGCATTGTTTAATTTGTCACCCGGTATTCACAGGTGAAGGTTGTCATCCTGGGACAGGATCCATATCACGGACCCAATCAAGCTCATGGGCTCTGCTTTAGTGTTCAAAGGCCTGTTCCACCTCCACCCAGGTACGGATGCTTCATAGATGCCTCAGGTCCAGTTGCAGTTTACTCTCAGATGTGTTCTTTGCAAATGATGGGTGTGCTTATTTGGGGGACTTTCGCTAGCCTTTGGAGCAGGATTTCTCCTTGTCAGCACTAGTGACTTTTGGGGGCTGGGTCTTTGTGGGGGAGAGGGTTGGTCCAGGGTATTGGAAGATGTTTAGCAGTACCCCGTGGCCTCTACCCAGCAGATGCCAGCAGCACTGCCCCCTAGAGTAGAGAGTTCTAACAGTGGCAATGAAAATGTGTTTAGACATTGCCAGATGTCCCTTTCGGGACAGAAATCATCCCTCTTTAAGAACCACTGCTTTAGAGGATTTTTATAAATAAGTATATAGAGATCAGAAACTAATTGAGCATCAATCGGAAGGGAGGTTGTAACTCCTGGGCCAATTTACTTAAGTCTTCCGAAATGCTGTTCCTTAAACTCAAACATGAAGGACTCTGGCAGGGTTACCTGTCAGCAGGAATGGCGGTATTGCCTCATGAATCAGTGCAGTTTGCTCCCTTGTCCCACTGGGCTGGCTTTCCACGCTGTAATTAATGCACATGTCTGTTGGAGGTTGCCAAACTTTCAGAATTGTGCTTAAGACTATCTTTTGGTTTTGTGTTTTTTTTTCCTTCCGGCTTGCTTTCAGTTTGGAAAACATTTATAAAGAGCTGTCTACAGACATAGATGGTTTTGTTCATCCTGGCCATGGAGATTTGTCTGGGTGGGCCAAGCAAGGTAAACCAACCACTGCTACACGTGTCGGGCAGATTCCAGTAATCTCTTTCCTGTCCACTTGCTTATGTTTGTAAAAGATAGCCATGAGGACGAGAGGGCCCTAATAAAAGGGCTAACCTTGCAAAGTTTCCCCTTTATTATTATTTTGTTTGTTCCCCTAACCTAACTTTGACCATTTAGAAGGTGGCCTCACTTTCGCCATTTCAACATAGGTTGTGGCTACGGGACTTTTTTCTTTTTTTAAAAAAACTAAATTTTTTTTTTTTTTTTTTAGATTTTTATTGATTTTTAGAGAGAGGGGAAGGGAGGAGAGAAACATCGATGTGAGAGTGAGATACCTAATCGGCCGCCTCCTGCACACCCCTCACCAGGGGATTGAGGCCAAAACCCAGGCATGTGCCTGGACTGGGAATTGATCCTGCAAACTTTCGGTGCATGGGACGGCACCTAACCAACTGAGCTACACTGGTCAAGGCTTTTCTTTTTTTTTTTTAACAAATAAATTATAACCAGGATAAAGAATATTTACCCTTTGGTTTCTTGCATTTAGACTTTTTTCCCCCCAGTGAAACACTTTGGCCCCCTTTTGTTATTTTCTGGGGTTATTTAATATCACTTAGGATATGGTTTAAAAGCAGTTCTTTCTGATGACCGCTGGTACATAACACACATTCACTGTTGCAAACTTGGAAGGTGTTGAAAGTGCAGAAGTGAAAGTTGAATGCCCTCTGATAGCGCCAAGAGGTGCCCAGCGGTCTGTTGAAATGCTTTCTCTGTGACCAAATTTTAGCTAGCAGCTCTGGATCCCATCCTAAGAATGCTTTCCTCATGTGGTTAGCCCTGTCCATGGGTATCTGGCCGACTTGTTCAGCCTGCCTTTAACCTCTTTCTGTGGTATGTTTGTAGGTGTTCTCCTACTCAACGCTGTCCTCACGGTCCGGGCACATCAAGCCAATTCTCATAAGGAGAGAGGTTGGGAGCAGTTTACCGATGCGGTTGTGTCCTGGCTAAATCAGAACTCGAGTGGCCTTGTCTTCTTGCTCTGGGGCTCTTATGCTCAGAAGAAGGGCAGTGCCATCGATAGGGTATGTGGTTTTTAACAGTTTCAACCAGCTGAGAATTCAGGAATCCTTGCAGTGCGGTCCTGGAAAATCTATGTCATAAATTGAGGCTTGTTTTCCCTTAACACTGATAACTAGGGTTGGGTTTCCCATTGAAAACTGAACAAATTTAGGCAAATTATAGTAACGATCAGTGGTGTATGAGGAAAGCAACTGGTCAACTTCTGATTTAATGTAGTTACTAAAACATAGAAAGGTACACAGGTCCCTGGCTACCATTCAGTTAAACGTTACAATAAAGTCAGCGATTTCAACTGGTGCGCCACAAGAATTTTTAAAACATGCAATACCTGACTATTTAGAGGCACTGACCTCTTTTCCCCTAGATTGTCAAAAAAATGACAACATTGAACACAATAGTTGTCCGGTGTGAATGAATCAGTTATGTATATATTTTTTGGTCAGATCAGCAAAAATGTATTTTTTGGTGTGCCGCAGAATTTTAGGAATTAGTTTATGTGTCATGAAATGAAAAAGGTTGAGAATCACTGATCTCTACCCAGTTGTCCAGTCAGAAGTCCTATTCATAACACCTCCCTACCTTTTTCCCCCTTCTTCTCCCCGCCCCCCATCTCCAGCCAGTCATTCATAGCCCGCCTTCTCTCATTACTGTCTCTTACACCCGCCCCCACCAGAACACCTTTGCCTTGATTTAGGCCCCTCTGATCTTGCCTAGAGCATTCAGATGCTTTCTCCCTAGAGGCCTTGACTTAGGCTGACAGCTGGGGTCTTTGGCATGGCCTTGGTCTGCCTCTCAGCCAGGGCTTTCCTCCTCACTCTGAGCTCCAGGCTGACTGTCCCTCCCAGATTTGTTCCCGTGCCCCACTTCCCTGCCTGCCTTTGAATGCCTTGTTTCCTTTGTCTTTGTAGAGGTCTCTTCCTTCCCCAGAGGCTGACTAACTCATCCTTCAAAGCTCAGCACAGCTCACATTTCCAGGGGCCTGTATGGCATGCCAGACAGGGTGCTAATAAGTACTTGACCTCAGTTACTTCTCTTAACCCTTTGCGGTCGTATTAAATTTGGACATGGGTGTCGTACTGGTCGGAATTAATTTCCATTGAAAGAGCAGTGATACATAACATGCAAGATTATGAAGGATACACAAGAGGAATTATGAACTGATACATGAATGAATAGAGTTAAGATTCGTACGGTTCCTTGCTGTGGTGGCTGAGAGCAGACATACGACCGGAACGGTAAAAAAGCTTTGGTGGCTGAGAGTAGACAAATGACCGCAAAGGGTTAATACTCTGTACGCATTCATCCATTCGTGCTTCTGCAGTAACTAGAAGCTAGGCGCTGTTGATATTCCCAATTTATAGATGAAAATGAAGTCCGGCTTTGGGAGGCTCAACACCTTCCTGTGGCTACACAACTAAGTGGCAAAGTCAGGACTTGAACCCAGGTGGTCCAGCTCTAGGCTCTGTGCTCTTAACCGCAGGCCCGGCTTCAGTTAAGGTGCCCCCTGGGCCAAGCAACTTAAAGGCAGGGCCGTTTGAAAACAATTATTCGTTAGGTGGTTATAATTTAAATGCAGAAAAGACTAAAGAAGAAAACAAAAGTCTAATTGTCTTTCCTGCTCAGTTAACTACAGTCGAAATTTAAAAAATCAAAGTACTCCAGTTTCGTGGTTAGACAATTCAGACAGTAATGAGAGGTCTAAAATTTTTCTCTGAAGGAACTACTACAAATAGTGTTTTGGGTATCCCCCCCCCTCCAATTTTTTTAATGCAATTATCACTTTTTTTTTTTAGTTGATATGTTTTGGAGGTCTCCACTTATCAGCATATGTAGCTCAGCCTTGTTCTAGTAGCCATGGGGTGTCCCACTGTAAGAACTTGAGAAAAATATTTTTAGCCAGTTGCATAACACTGGATTTATATTGTTTTGTTTAATATATTTTTATTGATTTCAGAGACAGGAAGGGAAGGGAGAGGGAGAAATAGAAACATCAATGATGATTTTTGATCAGCTGCCTCCTGCACGCCCCCTGCTGGGAATCGAGCCCGAAACCCGGGCGTGTGCCCTGACTGGGAATTGAACAGTGATCTCCTGGATCCTAGGTCGATGCTCAACCACAGAGCCACCCTGGCTGGGCTATATTGGGTTTTACCTGGATAAGCAGTGCTGCCATGAACCTCCTTAAACCTGCATCTTTTGTAGGTACATACCTCAGGGTGTCCTTTAGCAAATGTGTTCTCAGTGGTGGAATTGCTGGGTCATAAGATTTGAGCACTTAACTGCATAGATGGTGTCTGTGGGAGGCTGAGACTCATCCTCTGCCGCCTCAGAGCCTGTCAAAGGTAGTTGCTGCACAAATGAGTGAGTGCGCTGATGTTCTAATGTGGACTCTGAAGGCACATAAATACACTTGGCAAGGTGGGGGGATTTAGCAGGGAGATTGCAAAGCTGTCTTAAAGTGCAGCAGTCCCAGAGTCCCAGATGTGCCTTTAGTCACCCTCACTCTCTTTCAGAAGCGCCACCACGTGCTGCAGACCGCCCATCCGTCCCCGTTGTCGGTGTACAGAGGGTTCTTCGGATGCAGGCATTTCTCTAAAACCAACGAGCTGCTGCAGAAGTCTGGCAAGGAGCCCATCAACTGGAAGGATCTGTGACCCTGAACTGGGGGGGGAACCTGGCAGTTTCTAGAAGCTGCTATTGAAGTATTTCAGTGATGAAGTCGAGTTGAAAAAAATAACAATTTCCCTAGTGATTCTTAAGCACTGCATATGGGGAAGGAAGTTTCTGTAAAGTGGCCTCGAGTCAGGCTGCCCAGGAGTGGCAGCTTTATCCAGCAGAGACTGTACTGTGACCACAGGTCTCTTTGCAGCTTGGCTTTCGCCTAGGATACACATCATAGTTCTTGGAACAGAGAGGAAGTGGAATTCTCTAGACTCTCCTCCCGTTTCCTTTACTGTTAAAGATGGGGAGATACGCACCTTTTTGGTATATAAGTGAGCTGCTTCTCGATTTTACTTGTAGGTTAAACTTTAGGCTGTAAGGTGTTGGGTGTTTTTATATAGAAAGGCCCCCTTTGCACATCCTGCTGTTCCAGTCTGGGCCAGGTCCGTCCAGTGCCCTTGGATCCTTTACCGAGCCCTCAGGCCCCTCCGTGGAGGAAATAGAACTTAAGATTTTTTTTACCAGTTCCCAGAAATTAGGGATCAACACTCTGATTGTAGCAGAGGTGAAAATTCCTAAGGAACGATCCCTGCTGTGAGCCTTCAGCCTGGCAGAGGCCCAGAGGAGCGGGCTGGGTCTTGCTGAAACTGTTCCCTGGGCGTTCCTGGGAATAGGCAGTGGAAGTTGAGCTGGAATCGGACAAAGGGGGATTTTTTTTTTTTAAGAGAGGGCAATGCTTTTCTCCCAGGTGTATCCTGAACGGGGTTCTTAAGCGTAGTGCCAAATGCTATTTTCTGGACAAACCACTTTAGGATGCCTTTTTCTGCAACACTGGAGAATTTCACTCTTTTAAAAAATACTTATGTGGATGTATATATGTATTTTTTTTAATCCTTTGTTTAAGAGACCATCTTTACTAGGTCTGCACCCCCATCCTAGATCCTGTTAAAGATGCTGTTTTGCTGTTAGCTGGATTCAAAGTTAAACCTGCTAGAGTTTGGTAATAAAAGGTAGTTGAATTTTGCTTTGTGCAATGCCCTGTATCCTGTGTACCCTTCACCAGTGTGCTCCTTCTGGGCCTGGGCGTCAGAGGACGCCCTTGGGCTGTCCTTGGGCTGTTGTCGCCGCGGCAACCACTGGGCAGGAAGGGCCGCCTCCGGGCCTCCCTTCCT